GTTCAAAAAAGGGCTCAAAGCATGCCCCAAAGCAAAACAAGAGCGCCATCTAGTGGGGACAAAAAAATACTACAAATGGATCATGAGGCATCATTTTGTTCAGCACTAAGTAATGCTTATTAAAGGTGTATAGTTAACCTGCAGTGATGTTTAATAGTATGGCTGCCGCGGGAGTCAAAATTCAGATGAAGTCCCTCCACTTAATCAGTGTTACATATGCTCATAATTTTAAAAAAGTTTCTCTATTTAGTTGTTGATCCTACAAGGGTGCCAAGCTTGGAGATGTAGACACATTGCTTTAGTGCCTCAGTTATTATGGTTTGCTTGTTTAATTAAGGCCATGTTATAGCTTTGCATTATATTCACTGGAGCAGTTGGTGTAGATGCTTTGCTCAGAAGTGCAATTGCTGAGTCCACTCCCTGGTAATTGTATCGGCTCATCTCACTCCCATTTACCATGTAAATGTTCATGTGCAACATACATAAATATCTAGAGTGAAGTAATGGCATTTATGTTTTTCCCCTCAGAGACAGCAGGAGATGAGGATGCACATGGGAGGTAAGCAGATGCGTGTTCACGGTGCCCTGGCGACCCGCCCGCAGCTTCTGATTCTATTTGTGAGAGTCTTAATGGCGTTAATCTCTCCAGGTCCAGGAATGGGACTGAATAGGAGCTCGATGGGAGGAAACCCCCTAAATGCTGGACCGCAGAACATGCCGGCTGATTCGAAACCCTTAATGGTAACATCACCGTCCTAGTGTAATGCTTTCAGAAGTCTTCTGTGAATCCTTCAGGAAGAAAGACTGGATGTATTGTAATTAGGGCTGGGCGATGATATATCGATAATATATTGCGCATGCACAATAATCACTTGGGTTTCACATGTAGTTATTAACTGACTTCAGTTAAATGATGTCCATGAGCATAATGGCTTTTAAATTTAAAGAGATGGCTTGAAGTTTTTTTTTTTTTTTTTTTTTGCTTTTTTGAATTTAAGTAAATATGAATATGTGATGTGAAGGTGCCAAATTTAATGTACCGCTGTAAGAGTTGGAATTGATATTGACGCCTTAAGTTGCCCTTTGGAATGAAAGCATCTTTTGAAAATGCTTGTAGGAAATGTAGCTGATGTGTCCAGGCTGCTGAATTTCCCAGACTTGATACTTATCTCTCCTCCACAGCACAACAGCTTCCCCATGGAGGGGGCTGGAAACAGCGCTATGATGGGGGCCATGCCAGGAGCCATGCCTGGCTTTCCCAGGGCCCCCCCCGGACCCACAGACTTCAAGCGCCCCAGATTTTAGGAAATGCTCACCATACACTTCTTCATTCTCAATTTTACAAATATTTTTATACATCCTTTTTATACAGGGTAAAATTTTATTTGGCTATTGGAAGTGACTTTTTCTTTTCAGTCCTTTATGAACAGTCTTGCGTTGGGTGTTTTTGTTTTACACCTTTAGTTTAGAGCTAACCTTTTATTCTAACATTTTTTGGTTTGTAGTAATTTTGTACATCTGAGTAGTCCCCCAACCCCCAGATATCATACACATTCGACTGACCCCCATGCCCCCACAGAAAATAATAAAATTGCCTGTCTAGTGTTAAATGTTTTGATGTATATTACAAGTGGTACTCTTTCCAAATCTTGTATTTCTCTAAATAAACACTGGATGGTAGTAGTGATTCACTAATACAATGACACAGGTTGTATTATAAAGTCAAATATGACAGTCCAGGATTTCTTAATCTTGGCTTCTGTGTATGTCTGAACATTAAGCTTCTTAATTGTGCTTGATCAACCTGTAACAAAATACTGATCCTGATCTGATTTAAGATGTGTTAAAAATTAGAGAATTATGTTTGGTTTAATAACCATCAAGCTGAAAAACTTGATTTATGATACACAGACAAACTAGTAAACATTTAGTTTGCAAGTTACTTCCTTGTCTTTGGGATGTCTTGGTGATTAAAATAATGCTGATTATTCTGGCTTGACACCTTTGCCAAGCAGAATTTAGGAACTCCGGTCTGACACGAATCGGGACACCATGCTTTCAGGGTCGAGAATGATCCCACGACACTAATCGGGTGATTACACTTTCTTGCATGTTTAGATTGTACCAAATGTGGAGTATTTTTTAATACTCCACATTTGGATTAATACTTCATAGTATGAAAATAGTTTTTCAAAACAGGTATAAGATGTAGGGCACAGAATTAACATCACTGTTCTTGTCTGCTTTTGGAATGATCTGATTGTGGTTTTGTGGTGATACTTTTTAATAACAACAATAATAATTGATACTTGTTCTCTGTAGTTGAGAGCAAGCTGGTTGCTAAGGGCAGCCATGCATAGCAGTGCCCAGGGGGTTAAGGTCCTTGCTTAAAGACCTGTAGATGTGAAGAGGCCAGGCTTGAACTGGTGACTTTCCAGTCACAGAACTAGATGCTTAGCCCACTGAGCCGCACGCTGCCCCCATCATTAATTAGGAGCGTCTCTGTCTCTCGGATCACATACGGCTAGAATTTATGTGTATCACCTATGCGTCCTTTAACATGTCACATGTCAGGTTCCTTTATACCATATACGTGTCCTCTGATTTGTTGAATCAGTGACCAGTGATTAAAAAAAACATTCAGCTCTGGCTATATCCAGGATTAGAGTAACTACAGGTGAAACTGATACCTGGTATATTTCTGGACAAAACTACAGGCTCAGAGTTAGGCATGTTACACATTCTTACATGTGCAACTCATAAGGAAAAGACATTAGAAACCTAACAGTAAACAAGTGCATTTAAAAACTTCTGGTCAGTGAGTTCAGCTGGGGATGGAATGAAAATTATAATTCCTTTAAAAATAGCTGTCAAAATTTTTATTTGAAGTGCCAACGTGAGTTACAAGTATTAACTTGTGTTAGTGAGCAGTACAGTAGAGAAGATCCTTGCTGAGTTTTACTGTGACACTAGAAGAGGACACAGATGTTCATTTAGGTGATGGACTTCCCCGTAGGTCTGTTAGAGAATACAAATAAATCAAATTAAAATGTTGCTCACAACTAATCACAAAAACGCACATTTAACGAGTCCGCGTAGGTAACTTTGGACCGATTAGCCAAGCATTGTATGAAATGATTATGTGTATACAGGATTGGAACTAAAGAATTTTTGCTACTGGTCATCTGGGCTAGTTCAGTAAAACAAACAAAAAAATGTGCTAGCCCACAATGTACAATGCATATTCAAGCGTAAAGTACAATCAAAGCCATTACATCTTTGCATTACATTAACAATAATAAATGACCATGTATCAAGTTATTTTCAGTATATCATTTATTAATTTACATAAAAATGTACTTATTCAGAGCACCACATGGTAAGAAGGTCGGTAGGCTACATCACCAGTCATCCAGCTATCCAAAAATATCGCATCCTTGTCATTTTAAGTGAACATTAGGACGCATCGGCGATACATTAAATCTATTTTTCCCTTTTTTAACTTGGACGTTTTGCACAAATTTTCTAACCAGTCCTGTATAGATCATTTTACAATTAACATTATAATTTACTGAAATAGCCTACCCTTAAATGAATAACGTAGTTTTATCCAAAATTGCTACCTCTAGTAGCAAACGGTTCAAATGCAAGAAAGCTTCTAACTTACACGTCACGTGTTCTTTATGTCTTAAAGACGTTATACTATACTTGGGGAGAAATGTCATTATATCCGACCCAGTTCACACGGTGGCGCCATTTCCATGTTTCTAACCATAGTTTCTGCAATCCATAAAGGATGAATGAAGGCATTCGCTCCGGGGATGTTTGATGATTCAACAAGACATTAAGCCGCGCAGAGCGACGGCAGCATATGGACCTTATGACTACAAAGAAAAAGGCTTTCAGATACGCGAACGCTGAAATTACACATCAAGCTAATAAATGATTTAATATCAGTGAGATAGGTATCTTTAATTGAAAAAAAAAACAGTTTTGGATAGAAGTCCCTGTTATTTGTATACAAATATGATAAGAATATGTATTTATTTATGAACATCCAAATACACATAGCATCAAACTTACTAAAACATATCTGGTTTGTAAAAACTATTGAAGCCTAAATTATATAGCTTTTAATACAACACACATTGCTATTGGTGTTTGTAGATAATTCTACAGGCAATAGTACAAAACGTAGGCTCGACTTTGATAGCGTTTTGCCTCAGTGTATACCTAAGAAAATCTATAAGAAATTACAGAATGATTAGATTAGTGTACACATTTTAACCGCTGAATTAGTCAAAATTAAGACACATTTTTATTCCACTGACGGGTCACACTTACACAAATCTCCAAAGACTGCTACTGTACATTGGCTGTGATGTCATGCATATTCAATGCAAGTGTGAAAAAGAATAAAACACAATCTCGGACTTGTCTCAAAGGTCGACGCACGTGTATCTCGTACGCACACAAAATAAAATACGCCCGGTTCACACTGACAGCTCTTGTGAGTGAGAGCATGAGTGCCGTAGATGCACGTTGTTCCACACCTCCGGAAAGCCTTCAGCGGTTTTGGACACGAGATTGCTCTGTAGGATATCTCATCTCTATTCTATTTCTGAAGAAGTAGAAATTACCACCCCCTCATGCCTGCGTATCGGGGGGAGAAGACACTGATGAGGAAAGCTACATAGATTTTTTTCAATCATGATTAACACACCACAACTCATTACTTTTCATTCAAGTTTGCACCCAAATGGATTTTTTAACTCAGTGCGTAACGACAGACTGGATACATGATACATACAGGGCGCTTTCGTTAAGGCACGAAGTACCGTGCAATCGGAAATGCAAGGACAAAATTAACAACTGCAAACGTCTGGATAATTAATTATTTCCCGTGCTTTAATATTTTAAAATGACGCCAAATTAAAAAAAATCACAACTCACCGGAATAGCACGCAAAGCGCCGCTGCACTTCAGCAGATACCAGGTATTTGCGCGCCTTAATGGCAAAAGTTGAATGTTTTCAGCCTCAATCCAGTTGCACGTTGAATACATGCATTTTGTTTTGAAAAGGTTTCCATTTTTGCGGAAGAGGAGTATCATAATAGTGATTATGGAGTTTGAGGTTAACGTGAGCTGCATTGATTGTTTGCCATACGGAGCGAATAGAAGCAGCCTGGCACTTCCGACCTCCTCGGCGGGAGTGACGACAGCGCTGGCCAGCGTGCTGATATTCACCATAGTCGTTGACATCCTCGGCAACTTACTTGTTATTTTAACCGTATTTAGAAACAAGAAACTCAGGAATGCAGGTAAGGTGATATTTTAATATTTAACCTCGGTGTCCTTTCTTTATATCTCATTTTTAAGGCACGTTGGTCTTTAATTTTTAGCACCTCTTTTCTTTGGTAAAAATGCTACTATTTTTAGACTTGATGAATATTTTAAAACTCTTTACATTTAACAACGTAACCGAAACAATCATAAAACACCCGTCATATGCTGTTTTATCGCAACAATCAGGGTATTTTAATTTTCAGACCATTTAAAATACAACTAGCATGAACAGAAGTATACTATGCATGAAAATATATACCTATTTAGTTTTTAACGGTGTTTGCAAAGTTCTCAGCCATGCAATATGCACCAGCAGTCCGTGGCTTTGGGTTACGTCACAGTGGCTCAATAGTTGTCTATTCCTACTCAACTGAATCGAAAGTGACGTTATACCCCTGAAATATTTTGCAGTAATGTATGTCTTCCCATGCACAGGAATGACTTTTCTTGTATATATTTTGCAGAATATTAAAATAAAACAAAATCAAGCAATCGGCAGATGATTTAAAAATTTAAGCGTTTTTCTCTTATTGGCATTCTCATACGTTCAGGATATTTTCTTTACATGCCGTTTCTTCAATAAGCGCACAATAAACGACACAGCAGCAGTTTACTTTTTAGAAAAAAGCTTAAAAAGCCCAAGTAACATAATAATAATAATAATAATAATAATAATAATAATAATAATAATAATAATAATAATAATTGATACTTTTATTGATCCCCGTGGGGAAAATTTCTTTACGGCTCCCTCACCACTCTTAAAGCACTCTTAAACAGAGCTGCAGTGGCATTAAAAATTGGTTCTGGACTTTGTAGTCCCCCCACGATAATATTTACATTTTTTGCCGGTGTTCTGACCAGTTGAACTACCTATCGAGACGTACTATCGAGCCTTTTGGCGCATGTGCAGTTCCACCGTCTTGGCATTAGGGTTAGGTTTTAGGGGTTTGGGTTAGGGTTAGGATAAGGGTTTTAGGGGGTTTGGGGGTTTAGGGTTAGGGTTAGGGTAAGAGTTATGGTTAGGGCTATCGATTAGCACTACGGTAGGATAACTCGACAAAGTAGCTCATTTCGACAGAACACCGGCCCACGTACCCATCGGCCAACCGGGAAAAATCCCATGGGAGTGAAAATCACCTGCAGATATAAACGCGTCCCCGAAGTGTGACTGTGCTACCGAAATAGTGACATACACTAACAAATAAATAATTCACTTATCGATTTATCATGGCATATTACGTTTAGTTTCACTGTTCCACAGTTATGAAGTAAAGAAGAAAAAAAAACAAGAATATATATATTTTAAAAGTTTTACCAACAAGTGTGCAACATGCATAGCCGTTTTAATAATCCAGGTACATATTAAGTTCTGCATTTACATAAATAACAGACGTTGCTATATGGAGTGCTCTCGATATGAAATTTCCTATAGTGATGAATATTTTTCTCTGAATGTCTCGAGTCCCGAAGAGTTAATACTTTTGGGAGCCACTGTTTATTTTGTACTTAACCCTTTCCAAGCAAACCACATGCAGCGTTATGCTGAATATACGCCACGAAAGTCCTACACAATTTATCCCACGCTATTTCTTCTGCTGCCTTCTCCAGGATTTTCCTCAGTCCTGTGTTAAGTAAGCTATTAAAGCAGACTGCATGGAAAGTGGTTTTGACGTTGAATCGACCTTTTCATGACAGCAGCATTGTCAAGTTTGTGGATTCACCCTAAACTGAGATCATCACAGAATTATGATATTAAGTTTTTCTTGAAAGCCATACCAAGCTTTTGAAATTTGCTATCAACAAAATTTGAGCCTCTGAATGTTTTGAATTTTGAGTTTGAGGTTTAACTTCGGAAGCTGTATTTACCCTTGTGTAGCTTATATGGTATGGAACTGTTTCATGTATTCATTGAATTGCATGTTCCACATGATTTGAAAGGGATTTAAAACTACTGGCAGTATTAGTCACCTTGCCCATTCTAACTGTTATGATGGAGCGAAGGAGAAACAAGCCAGTCGTTAGGTTTACAGATGGGGTTTTATTGCAAGGTATCAATGCAGGTACAGAAAAACAAAGGACTGCAAGGGGTCAAACTAGGAACCCAGGAGGAATGACAGGGAGATCTTACGGTTAACCAGACATAGGGGTATGGTATTGAACAAAAGGACTATGACACACTGACTCACAACAGAGCAAGACTAACCATCACTGAGAGGCACACTAACATTATCAGTGCTGGAGCTGAGGAACTGAACATGAATGGGTGACTGTAAAGAGGAGTAATGAAGGCTAACGAGAGACAGGTGCTTGTGATTAGGATATTAAGGGACCTCTGCTGGCCAAACAGGAGCACAACAGAACAGATCATGACTGTCAGTCATTTCAGATGAATGAAAATGGAAAATATGTATTATTATGTGTATTAAATGTGTATCTCAGATGTTTAAAATTGCACCAGTCATAATTAGGCAGAGTCGGTGTGTGTTCAGACTTGTGTGGTTTAGCTGGGTGGCACCACAGTGTGGTAAAATCGTAATACTTGTGTCAAAAGCTGCAATGAGAACTTCATCTGGGTATATAGCAGGGTTGGGTGACTGAAATATTAAACATTAACATTGGAGATTGCTATTGGGATAAGCTGTGCTCTGTTCCCCCCCCCCCCCCCATAGACAACCACAGAACAAATCACTGTGTCTATCAGCTGATCCTCACTGCTTATTCCCTAAATGAAATCTCGTAGCTCCACTGTCATATGCTTGCGGTGAAACAGTAAGTTACTACACACACACTGAGGGATTTTATTTATGATGCTGGTGTCACACAATCTACAACAAAGTCTTTCTGTGTTTTATTTGGGTTCTTTGTCTTTTCTACCACGTCAGACTCGGCTGTTGTGATTATTTTAAGATCATTTGATTTATAGGTTCATTTCCCATGGGAAATTATTTTGTGTTTTTCCGGCTATTAGTGATCATTATACAGTTATCCTTTTGTATATACTTAGCAAAAATATATTCTTTCAATATTTAGTAAAAAATATCAGTGGTCTAAGGGTTGGTACAAAGCATACCAATTTAGTCTTGCTTGCATAGACAAATCATTTCCATTCACATTTTCATGGTATGATAAAGCTTTTTAATGCTTTATGCAGCACATGTACATATGGATACATATATCCTGCTTTCCTTTAACAATTTTTTACATTGGACTTGACATAAATTAAGCCACTTAAAATAAATTAGAATGGAATGTCAAATAATAACAGATTACCTTATTCCTAAAGAGAAAGAGTTCACTTTTCTGAAGAATTTTCCAAACAAGCTGTGTTAAGGCTTTTATTATCCCAATTCCATTCATTTTAGCAATTGATAACATGCAATTACATTAATAAGTTATTCATCTATACATTATACATACAATTGCTTAACCAGTACAGGGTCCCACATCCATCTTCCAGTTGCTTATCCAGTACAGGGTCCCACATCCATCTTCCAGTTGCTTATCCAGTACAGGGTCCCACATCCATCTTCCAGTTGCTTATCCCGTACAGGTTCCCATAGGGGGCCTGGAGTTTATCCCAGACAGCATAGGGCACCAGATGGGCTGTATCCTGAATGGGGATCACAGGACAGTATCAACAGTTATGATGTAGGGAACCCATATTGTTTTGATTCACGTGCAATGTTACTTTACAACACAACACTCACTGGGTGAATGCTTATCCACTGGGCGAATTATTGCATTCCATCTGAACTTGAGCGTCTTGCAGTTCAGGATTGAGGTTCACAACTAGACTTGGGCGATATCTACTTTTTCATACCATCATATCTTCAAGACATTCCATCCTGGTATACAGTATATGATGGTATTACAAAAAAACAACTTGTCGAAGAATTAAAAAGCCACCCTTTGTCTATTGACACTAACGTCACTGCCTGATCTGGGGGACCTGCTGTATCTGCAGCCGCATGCGCAGTAGGTTTCACGTTTCAGGCTCCAATAGTCTCACGGCACATTTTGTTTTTGTGGCATTAATCTATGCAGGCGTGTTATTCTTTGACATTATTTTTTTACCTAGCTATTGTCGATGCTGATGCCATGGACTACAATACATCGGCTCAATATCAGTTTCATAGGAAGAGGAGGGTCTGTATTTTTGATAGCATTAAAGATAATACCTTCGGGATTTCTAATACTGTCGTACCACCCAGACCTATTCACAGCCTAAAATCCACCATCCAGATCTGGGGATGTAATCGCAGGCTGGTGCATCTGCGCATTTTATTCGCAGCCAGTGAAAAACACTGTCACTTTGGGACAAACTATAGACTGTGATACTGTTTTAAATTTAATGGACAAATACATTCCGCAGAGCTACTTTTCACCCTAAACTGTATCCTGTTGTGAGTCTGAAAATGTCTGATATCGGTGGATTTGCACCTTTAGCCAAGTCATTTGTCTGCCTCCAAAATAAAACCTCATGACACCTAAAAGTTGCTGAGGAAAACAGATGTTCTCTCCTGGGCACAACTGTTTATATGGTTCGAATACTTCTTCTGTTAATTTACCTCTAAAATCACCTTTAATGCTGTTAAGCTAAAGCCTTAGAACAAAATGGCAATTAGTGACAAAGTGATAAAGCTCATGATAAAGAAGAGCTATCTTTACAAGAATTTTGCCCCGTGTTATCCGTTTAATAAAAAAAATACTTTGGAAGCCATTAATGGATGTTTTGAAAATCAGCATTTACAGTGAAACCATTAAAACCTAACAAGAGTTTATTAATATAAAATATTGAGCTGTGCCCATAATCACATGCAATATTGACGTAAAGCTCAAGTATGAAGCCCAGTGAATAGCCTGAAGACAATGTTCAAGCCAAGGCCAGTTTCTTATTTTCTATTCAGCAGAAATGCACATCCCTCGTAAGAAACATAACTTTTTTTTTTGCGTAACTTGTCAGTCGATTGGG